GGAGGGCAAAGCCCTCCTGGTCTGCAGCCGAACCCGGTTGGAAGAGCGAGAAAGTGAACGCGCGCAGGCCTCATCGCGGAGCTGCGCCGCCTGAAGACCCGCCTCTCTGATCCAGCGCAAACATGTCTACTGCTCAGATCAGTGGTTTGATCATTCCATTTCCTAAAGACAGTATTTCATTATTAATTTTAACAAAAGGATATGTACAAAGTGTGTTGTTTTTACTACCTCTACATTTAACATAATCTGTGCGCTTACAACATCTAGAAAGACTAGGTGTTTCAAATGTGGACTTAAGTTTGTCCACTATGTACAGAGTAATGTTGAATAAACTATCCACAGGTAACGGTTGTATCTCAGAGTGCCTTGTAAGTAGGAGCATGCCTGGCCTGGAATCCTTCATTTACTGCAATTTCTTCTCTCCTTGTTACATGTGATATAGACACATGTGTCACTCAAATGATTCTGCAGTTACACTTCCAAAAGCCCTTTTCAGAAGACAAATTTTCTGTGAATTTTAACACAAAGTATACAAGATGTCTTAGTTTACTAACTCTACTTTTGTCATATGTTGGCAACCTCTTTAATATGTAGAGACTAGGTACTATAAAATTAAGACCCATATATGTGCAGTATATACACTGTATATATAGTATAGCAAAGTTAAACGCGGCAAATAAAATGGATTACCTGAAATTTCTACCATACAAAGCACCTGTCACAATTTCTTCCCTCCCACCCCACTCAACTCAGTGAATAGTGTAATGTTCAGAGGTGGTTTAACCATCCTATTTGCAAGCACAGTATTTCCCATCAGTTTTAAAAAGCTGTTTACAGGCTAAGTGTGGTTATGCACATCTGTAACCTTAGGCTGAGGCAGGAGGATCGCTTTGAGTTCAAGGCCAGCTTGAACTACACAATGAGGCCTTGTCTCAAAAAAAAAAAAAAAAAAAAACAACAACTGTTTATAGAAAGTGTTATTCTACTACTTGTACTTTTAAATATCTATAAAGCACTTCTACATATCTAGGACTAGATTCTTCATATAAAAACATCTATGATACAGCACTGATAAGTAAAATTGTACACGTAGCAGTGGTTGTAATCTGAGATATCTTCTAAATATGACCATTTTAGCTTTGAACTACTCCCTTCTCACATCCTTCTCCCTGCCTTCACCCCAGCGGGCAAACACAGGCACACATAATGTCAGAGATGGTTTGAATCCAAAATTCATTTACAGAGGACAAGCTTTTCCATGCATTTCAACACAAAGTGTACAAAACAAGCCCACTTTACTAACTACTTTGTCTTACACTGGCAACCTCTTCAACATTAAGGGACTAGACCCTGCACAATTTGGACTTACCTATCACATACACTAGGTACACAGCAAAACAAAACCCACAAAGCATACAGAAAAATGGTGTCTGAAAATGTCTGAAGTAGAAACGTGCAAAGGTACTACCTTTTGCAGTTGCTTTCCTCCCACCTCATCTAGGTACTGAACAAATATAGATAGTACCATATTGCTCATGAGGTGGTTTACCATTCCATTCCCAAAAGACAATATTTCATGTGAATTTTAGCACAAAGATATTTACCAAGTTATATTTTACTGCCTCTATTTAAAATACTTTGGTCACTTCTAAACATCCAGATAAGACTAAATTTTTCAGGTAAGAACTCAGTTTGTCTGTGATATATGCATAACAGTCCTGATTAAATTGCACATATGTAACGATAGTTGGAAGTGTCTTGAAACAAATGTGAATAGTCTAGAACCCTTCCCTTCTCCCATTCACCCAGTGGTCTAAAATGCTCAAATTTTTAGAAGACAATCTTTCCTAGGAATTTTAACATAAAGTGTACAAAATTTGTTAGTTTGCTAATTCTGTTTTTGTTCAAAGTGGCAACCTCTTTAACATCTAGGAAGAGTAGATGTTGGAGAAGGACTCATTTTTTCTTCATATACCCTAGGTAGACAGCAAAGTAAAACAAAACACAGACGTAGGGCCAATGGTAACTTGCCTCGCTATAGGACACCAGCACAGCGCTCTGCATTTCCTTCTCTTTGAGAACCAGCGTAGAAACACAGTGTGGACTACTCAAGAGGAGGTGTGCCTATTCCCCCCCACAAAATAACACTTCACGTGAGTTGTAAAAAAAGAAATTTACAAAATGCATTATTTTACTACTTTTCTTGGTACCAGGATTTGAACTCAGGACCTTGCACTTGTGCCATTGAGCTATATCCCCAGCCCCTACTACTTCATTGTAACATGTACCAGGCACTTGAGAGTATCTAGAGAGACCAGATATTTCAATAAAGTACTTAGCATTGTTAGTTATCCATTTATATAGTAATGAGGACTGAAATACACACACAAAACAATGGTTACAATTCAGACCACCTCTTCTACCTGTAACCAGTTTGGTACTGCTCCTTCTTGTCTTTTCACTGTCTTCTGCTCCATGTCGTCTAACTCCTAGAACAAACATGACAGGTGTCAACTCCAAGTGTTGCTTCTCCGGATGGTCTGAAGAACTCCTTTTCAAAAAGTCACTTCCAATAGATGTTTCTTGTCTGTCATTTTCAATGGGTGTTTCCAAGATGTGTGATATTCTAACCCTATCGTATGTGGGCAACCTCTTTACATCTATATTGTCCACGTGCAGCAAGTTTTCTTTTGAAAGGCTGGGGGGAATGTTGACAGCAGTGTTTTCATATCATACACACAGGCCTTCTAAAAATGACCAGGAAATCTTCCCAGAAGGGGGTGGGCATTTCTAGTTAGCCAAGTGGGGAATATTACTTCCCCATCTCTCTCTTTGGTACCAGCTCATGGCCTGCCAGCCATTCCACCCATCCTCGAGCTGGGCACCTTCACCTTTCAGGGTGGGTGAGGCCTTTATTTTTCCTCACCACAAGAAGGGGCAGTCTCCTCCAACTGGGACACAGCAGTCGCTCTGGGACTACGGTCTGGCTTACATGGAAAGCCAGACTAAATAACCTGGCACACCTCTCAAACTTGTGTCTCTGTAGGTTCTTTCTAAATAGTGTCAATTTTCAAAACAAACAAAAGGGATTGGCAAGTTAAATATTCTCTTTCCAGTAAAATAAGGCGGTGGGAAATTGGAAGAGAGATCTGGGCTCTATAGCCTAGTGACGGTTTCCACACTAAATGAAATAAGATTCAGAAAAATGCGGGAGATGCCACCCAAGTTGCTTGCCCTGTGCAGAAGGGACATTTCCTGCCCGATCTTAGCTCAGAAGCTGACAGAGATGACGACATGGAAGAAACCTGCAAACCGTGAGAGGGAAGCTCAGCTCCATGACAGCTGAGTGGTTGAAACATGGGGCAGAGCAACGATTGCTCTCTCGGTTCCATTTTTGGTGCATTCAGCTCAGATGAGGTTTGCAGCACGTGGATGGGATCGTTAACCATGCTCTGCAATACATCACCGGTCTGTTTCCCCTGGCAAGGAGAATCCTCTTGTGACTGCATCATTTTCCCACAGGTGGGTCTTTTGTAGTTCTCTTGATGGCTGACCTTTATCATCAAGTACCGAACACACAAAGTCTCCAAGAGTCAAGGCTTGACACTTGAATAAGTCATTACCGGTACTATTGGTATACAAAAGTTTACCAAAAATACACAGTGGATCTTTATATTAAAATTGATTATGGTAAAGACAAATTGCCCTTATTCTCTCTCAGAATACTTCCCCTTGCTTCAAACACACTTACTGCATCATCTCGCCACTTTCTCAAGCAGTTCTGGAAGTCCTCTTCCACCACGATGAAAGCTGCTGCCATTCTTCGCAAAGTCAGGCTCTTGAAAACATTCTGTTGTGTCCTCACCCACCTTATGCATCAGATCTTGCATGGCGCACCTTCTGGTCCTTCCCCAAAGTCAAAATCACCATGAAAGGTGTCCTGCCGAGAACCAGTACCTGACATCCACAATTTAAAGAAGAAGAAATTTATTTTAGCTCACAATTTGTAGAGGTTTCAGTTCACAGTCAGCTGGTTCTAAGGCAGGGCAGCGTGGCAGAAGGGCATCACAGAGAGAAACAGTGGCGGGGGGGGGGAATGCAGAAAGAGAAAGAGAGGGAGAGAGGGATCCAAGAGGGCGGGAGATACAGTACACCCTTCCAGGTCATCCCCCAGGGACCTACCTCCTCTCACCAAGCTTCACCTCCCAACATCACGTTTTAGCTATAAACTTATCAGTGAACTAATCCACTGATAAGTATCACACCTCCACGATCCAATCCCTTCCCCAAAGCCCCACCTATCAGCGTGAGAGGCTTGTGGGGAAAACTAGATATATAAACCATAACTAAATGTTTTGAATATATTCAGGACACCCAGGCAGCCCTGCTAGGGAAACGAAAAATATTAACATGTTGGCTTTAATCATGAAGGTCCTGTCCTTCCTGGGCTGGGTGGGTCCTGACTACTACTTGTTACCAAGGCTCAGTGCAATCAGTACCTTTCTAGTGGTAGGGACCTGTTTCTGTTTTCAAGAGGTGAACGAATATGAATGAAGATAATCCTCAGTCACTGTTAAATTTACGAAACATCAGTGAAGGAAGTTTTCAGATACACTTTTTTTCTTAGAAACTTCCAGACTGCCTTCTCATTACTGGATGAACTATGAGGACCATAGGAGGCCACACACATTTAGAAGAACTTCGCCCCACCTGAACTTTTGGAGGCAAGGGGGTGGGCATTGTTTGTCTTTAGTCTCTAATGTAGGTCCAGCACAGGGTAGGTGGACCTACCTGGATCCGTGAATAAGGTATTAGAAATCACGGCCCTTAGGAGAGACAGAAGGAGAAAGAGCAGGATTGGGCAGACATAGGACACAGCAGAGGACTGTTTTGTAAATATTTGGTTGATGTTGGCACTGTCTTCCTTTGCGTGAAATGGATGATGCGTCGTTCTCGTGTCCCAGACGTGCATCCTTCGACATAACTGTCAGGGCCCTTGTGCCTGTTCCTATTTTTTAGGATCTTAAGGATTGAACGTTTGGATTCATCCAGCTTGCCCAACCCAGTGAATCCGTAACTGACCGGTCTCTGAGACGGAGTTGCAAAGCTGGAAGTCACCTCCACCCGCGTTCAGCGGTCCTCTCTGAGAAGTTTCGTGGTGGCGATGGATGGGAGCCAAAGAAGAGACGACAAGTCAGGCAGAGAGGGCAAGAGGGGAGCGGAGCCTGGAAGGACGGTGGACTCCAGCCAGCGGGCACCCGGGCTGCAGCTGCAGGAGGTGGGGCTGAGGGAGGAGGCGCCCGGATCGCATTGGCCAATCCGACGCCCCACCTCGCTCGCTGGGGCCGCCGCACCCAGAAAAGTGGCCGAGGTTCCGAGCGACTGGCAGTGGCCCTTCCGCGACAGAGAGAAATGGCTGAGTATCTGCGGCTGCCCCAGTCCCTGGCGCTGATCCGCCTCCGAAACCCGCCTGTCAATGCCATCAGGTGACAGCTCGCTCGGTCCCCTCTCCCTGCAGCCGGCACAGCGGGGTCTCCTGGGTCTGCAGCCCCGGACCCACGGGCTTTGATTCTCCCCGCTGATTGAAACCGAAAACACAGACCGTGGAGCAGGGCGGGTCGGCAGGGCTTTTCACCAGGTTAGCTGGGTTCATCTTGGCAGAGGACTCTGGCCCGGCTTTGATCGGTCAGGAAACGGAGTGACAGCGACGGAGCAGTGGAGCTGGGCGCAGCAGGGTCGGTGCACGCCAACCCCGCTCAGAACCCTTTGCGTGCGTGCACCTCGGCTTCTCAGAACTTTCAGTTCCAAAGGTGTTGACTCTGGACAAGGCTGGAGCCTGATCCAGCCTCAGGTCCCAGCTTCCAGCGCAGGCTGCCCTGTTGACGTGTGACTGCGCTCTGTAGGAATCAGAGTACCAAGCGGTTAAGCGGCCTTTACTTTGCTGCAAGGCTGTGGTCCTCTCTGGAAGCTGGATCTATTACAGCTATATCTGTTCCAGTCATACTCATTTTTCTATTTTTGCATGCTTTTGAATTTTTCTAAGTTAACAAAAATGTAAATAAAACACGAAGCATTTGTTGGAATGGGGAAATCCTGTCCCTTCTCAGTGGCACTGATTGAGTTAATGTTGCTCATTTTGTAGCTGTCCACGGACCAGAGGGAACACATCAGTTCCCTCTGTATCTCTGCTTCCCACCTGACCATTCAGCCAACTGGGGTATGTTTCTTGGGTCTCTAATGAACCTATAGAATCTTTTTTCTCCCTTGCCATAATTCCCTAAATAATACAGTACAATAACTAGCTTTTAGACATAATTTACAGTATATGAGGTATTTATAAGTAGTCTAGTGGTGATGAGGTGCATGAGTTATATGTAAGTACTCCAGTATTTTATATAATAGACTAGAGCATATGAATATATTGGTATCGTGCCAGGCGGACCGTATATTCTGAAACCAGTTCCCCATAGGTGCTGACGGAAGGCTATACATACTTTCTGGATTTTCAATATTATGTAATGGTCCAGAATCTGTTTTTATATTTAGTTGTGGTTTTTGATTAACTAGGCAAAAGCAACAGGTTTTATTGCAGTCTCCTAGGTGGAAAGGTAAAAAGTCACTAGGTGAAAGGTAATTATCATACACAAGAGCAGATACCTTCTTTATGAATACCTAAAGCTGTGACTCATAGTTACTGGTCTTAACTCTGTGGCTTTTATAAGATTTTGTTGATTTTGGTTTTAAGATTTTTATTAGCCAGTGCACGAAAGAGTGAGATTTTACTACATCCCAGGTGCTTTGTCAAGTATAACAAGCACCTCAATTTCTTAAAAATTTTTTTTCTTTCCTTTTCCCTTTCATTTTTTTTTTTTTCTAAATTTGCATTGGGAGTTACCTTTCCTAGCTTAGTGAAATATGCTTTCCTGGATAAGTTTTTGCTAAGCACGTAATTTAACTCCTTCATTGCTAGATCGTCCAGTCATGTTTCCTTCTGTTCAGAAGAACAGCAATTCTCCTCTCCAACATGCTACTTGGCTGATATGGTAGGAGGCTTATCTCCAGAACAAGTGACTTTCACACTATTTTTTTATTTTTTAATTTTTTGGTTTGTTTTTTTTTTTTTTTTCCGGTATCGGTACTCAAACTCACTACCTTGCACTTTCTAGGCAGGTGCTGTGCCGCTGAGCTAAATCCCCAGCCCCTCACACTATTTTTTTAAACTGTAATCCACATAGTTAGAAACTTTGTGTTTTACATTATAATAGAAGACACATGCATACATACAAATGTATAACTGAAAACAAAGTTTTCTGAAAGCAATCTTACCCTTCCATGTGAGATAGTTTGGCATATCCTATTTTCTGTTCAGTTTGTTTGACTGAAAAACTCCTGGTCACAAGCTATCAAACTTGACTGGATGAACTTTGTTTTTTTTTTGGTTGTTGTTGTTTGGTTGGTTGGTTGTTTTTTTGTTTTTTTTTTGTTTTTTTTTAAGAGCAGTTAAAAAGAATGGCCTTTTGTGGTAAAAGAAGCTGAAAAACTACTGTCTGTACTCAAGAAATGTGCTTTTCTTCCCAGATTCCATGCTTCACGCCTGGCTGTGTTAAGGGGAATATACTTTCTTGGGTCCTGTAGCCTTTACCTGGCTGAGAGACTGTGGTCCTCTCAGTCAACTGAAGTTAGTAAATTGTGTTGGTTGTACATACTTTGATTTTCCCTTTTTGGCCTGTTTCTTAGTTTTTATAAAATTAGTAACAGCGTAAAGTAGAAAGGGGTAGTTAAATGGGGACTAATTCTGGCTCATTTTGTAGCCATCCCTCAGCTGGAGAGAGAAATATTTGCTCTTCTATACTCTGGCTTCCCCACCTGCCATTCAACCAGCCGTAGCCAAAAATACAGTTAGGTCTATTAGGTACACAAGGTGGGTCTCTAAGAATCTTTATTTTCTTGTCATTACTCCTTAACCAATGCAATGCAACAACAATATCTTACATAGCTTTTATGTTTTATAAGTATTAAGGAAGTCTAGGGATGATGAACATAGGTTGTATATAAACATTTACTATTCTATACGATACACTGGAGCATATGTTAATTTTGGCATCCTGGGGTTGGTGGTTATAGTCTGGAGCCAATACCCCAGATACTGAAGAGTGACTGGATATACTTTTTGGACTTCTTAATGTTTGTGTAGTAGGCCAGAATCTGTTTTCCTAAGCAGATGTGATTTCCAGTTAACCCATCCAAAGAGAGAAGTGTTCTTTGATTTCCTCTAGGTCATGAGTTAAAAGATAACTAAGTAAAAGATAATTATTATACCCAATAATCCTGTTTTATTCCCTGAGGTTCTGACTCATAGTAGCTGGTCTTAGTACTATACCCTACTTCAGGAATTTGTTGTTTCTTTTAAGAATTTCAAACTCTGTATACTGAAGAATGGAGGTCTGACTACATCACAGCTTGTTTAGGAAGTGTAACAGGTTCCCCAGGTTTTGTTTTGTTTTGTTTTGTTTTGTTTTTACTTTTGCTTCATACTTATCCTTTTTCTTTCCTCCCTCTCCTTCTCCTAGTTTCTAGTTTTATGTGGGAGATTATCCCTTCCTGCTGCACTGGGATGTGCCTATTCTCATATACTTGTTTAATACAGAAAGTAGGTTAAGTCTTCCCTGCTAGTGTAGCCAGCCATGTTTCCTTCTGTTCAGATGACTATCACCCTATTCACAAGCATAGGACTTTGCCAGTTATGAGGCTGTCTCCCAAACAATGTCTCTTGTACTTTTCTATTTACTGTATTCCACAAAGCTAGAGACCTCATGTTTTCCGTAACAACCAAAGATGCCAACACACACGTGTAACTGAAAACCAAGTTTCCTGAAACTAATACCATCTTTACACGTTTTCCATATTGTATTTTCTCTCTAATCTACTTATTTGATTAAAAAGAATCCTGACCACAAGAACCAAACTTGATTTGACAAACACTCATTACAAAACAAAACAAAATATTCCAAAAGAAAGAACCTGCTGTGCTCAAAGAAGCTGAAGAGCTGTGGTCAGTGGTCCAGAAGTATTCCCTTCTCTCCAGACTCCATCTAGCATGGTGAATGGGTGAAGGGGAACACACTTTCTTGGCTTCTATGGATTTTACCTTGGTGTGGGGCTACCGTCCTCTCAGTTATCTGAATGTAATTGAGCTGTACTGGGTTATAGCCATTTTCATTTTCCCTCTTTTCCTGTTTTGTGAGGTTTTCAAAATTAACAAGAACATAAATAAACCAAGAAGGGATGAGTGGAATGGAAAAAACCCATGTCTTCTCATCAGTGGCACTGACTGAATGTGGGGTCATTTTGTAGACAGAAGACAACAGAATTGTACTGTGTATCCCTGAATTCCACATCTGTCATTCAACCAACAGGGATAGAAAATGTAGTTAGACCTAGTATACTTGCAGTTCTAATGAATAGGCATGGAAAGTCTTTTTTTTCCTTGTCATTCTCCCTAAATAATGCATACATAACTAACTATTTATATAACATTGACATAACATTTATGTTTCATTGGGTACTACAGGTATAAATATTTTAGAAATGTTAATTATATATATTGCACCATTATAGACAATGGACTCAAGTGTATGAGGCTTTGGGAATCATTATGGGGGGATGGGTGGGGCAGTTCAGGAACCTATTGCCCACAGGTGCTATATATTCCTTTTGGATCTTTCAATATTATGTAATGTTTCAGTATCTATTTCCCTGATCAGATTTGGTTTCTTAATTAATCAGTCTAAAGTAAGAGGTTTCATTTGACTTTCTCTGGACTAAGAGGTTAAAAATAAGTAGGTAAATGATAATTATCACAACTGTGTTGCAAGTATTTAGTTTATTCCCTGAGGCTTTCTCTTATAGTTTTTTTTTTCTCCTCTCCTAGTTTCTTAACAATATGATTTTTACACTAGTTTGTTCTCATGTGTTTTGTTTTAAGATTATTTCCACTCTGTAACTAAGGATCTGAGACTTTTATCTAGATGACTATGAGGAATTCCAAGCAAAATTAATTGTAGTCTGTGCCTATTATTTTTCTTTTAAGCACCTCAAGTATATAGTTTTCTTTTATTCTCCTCTTTCACTCTCCACTGGTCCAACTAATCTGCTTCTTGGCAAAGTCTCCTTTCTTGGTCTTTATGACTTGGCCTCCCTTGGTGTTGAGTCACTGGGCTGAGCCTCTCTTCTTAAGAGAGAATCCAGAGAACCTGCCCTTGGCTGTCTCTTCCTTGTTGTAGACTCACTGGCTCTTACCTTTAGCCCTATCACCTATGGGTGATTCCCTCATGTACTAAAACTTGGCAGAGTCTACTGCTGTACCTGCTTTAGCTTTCCCTTTCTTGCCTTTGCCTCCTAAATTAGTTAGGATTAGGTTTGCCTGCCAGAAAACTCACAATAGTAGTGAATTAAACAATCAACATATAATTTCTCTCACAGCAGTGTCCTGGAGTGCTATGGCTGCTCCCCAATCAGCAGGGACCCCAATTAAGTCTCTCTGGTGCTCTGCCACCTGAATACATGGCTTCTACCACTGGGTCCTCCCAGTCTAGCTATCATGTCTCATTTCTGCCACAAGTAAGGAGGAAGGAAAAAGACAAAAGCACATCCAGGCCTTTGAGGACTCTTCCTGAAAGTCATATATGCCAAATGTGTACTCCATCCCATTGGTCAGAACCTACAGCCTTGGATCAACCTCACTTTAAAGTAGATTGAGAAATATAGTCCTTATTCTGGGATACCAGGTACCCTACTAAAAAATAAATGTTTTACTACTTTGAAGAAGGTGGCAGGAATGCTTATTTCAATTAACTAGCAGCCCTGGCCACATTTCCTAGATGGTTTCTGCTTTACTTTTCTTCTATTTGCCGCTAGGACAAATTGTACCTTTGTCCCTCTCAGAATTTCTGTATCACTTTCTTTGTACCTTTATTACAGCACTCAAGGCACCTTACTTTATAGTTATGTAAATTTGTCAGGTAACTCCTTGCACTATACATAGGAGATGTATCATGATTTTAAGATATTGTTTTATTAGTTCAGGTTTATAATATATATAATGATGATATTTATGGTGGGGAGTTGGTACATGTACATAACACATCTTAGTTCTTTTTTTGTCCCCTACTACTCCCCTCCCTCCTGCTCTTTCCAACTCTTGATCCCCTTCCCATTAGTATAATAATATTTTTAAATTGATTATACAGATTCTAAGTGTTCAAGATAAAGCAAATGCCAGATTATACAGATTCTAAGTGTTCAAGATAAAGCAAAATGCCAAACTTTTAAAATTGTTTTAAAAGTGGAGTCATTTAATAAGCTCAGTGCTTAATTCGCAGTAGATATAGATATTATTTGTTAAACAAATGAGGGAAAACTTTAATGGTAAGTATCTGTGGTTTTTATCTATTATGTGTATCATTAATTTTTTCATCATTAGGGAAGAAAAGCAGCTGAGATAGAAGAAGTTTAATTCTCACTTGCTTTATGTGAATTTGTTCATTTAGTGTGGCTGTACTCAATGGAATACAAGAAGGACTACAGAAAGCTGTATCAGACAACACAATAAAAGGCATTGTGATTTCTGGAGCAAATGACACCTTCTCTGCAGGTAATTAGGGTCTAATCCTCTCTCGCTAGCTGTAGAATCCAGCCACAGACTGAGATCAATATTGCATGAGCTGTCCCTGTGGGTTATAACTTAGTGTGGGTTATGGATATGGCAGAAGACACTGGGAAGGAGGACCACTGTGGAGATAAGGATGAGTCCCTTCCCAAAAGACATCTAGAGAAGACTTTGGCTTTCATTCTTTTATATCAGGTTGAGCCATTTTAGGACATTTAGTTGCAGGCTGTGATGCCTGTTGTGCTGTCTGCTGTGTGGTGCCTACTGTGTATTTGTCTCCTCCACTTTGTCTGAGCTTGTGCTAAGCTATTTCATCTCCTGAACCTCATGTTCTCTAACTATAAAATATGGGCAGTAGCATCTGCCGTAAGGAGTTTTTGAGAGATTAAGTGGGATAATTTACCTAAAATTCTCTACTCCAGGGCCTGCGCACAGAAGTTGTTCTGTAAGTGTTTCACTTTAATTCACAATTTTGGAGTTCATTTCCTTTCGATAGGCAGCCCTGTAGATTTTACTGCAGTCAGAGATATTTAATGTATATTAATGATAGCTTGCAAACACTCAGATATTAGATTCATGACAAGAAATAGAAAAATATAATATTAGCATTTATCTTGTTTTTTAACTTGATTTTTTTAAAGAAATAGGTAGAAGACAGACTGTAATTAGAGTTAATTTCCAGAAAACTTATTTTTCTAGAAAAGCACTAGAAATTATCACACTAGACATTGTTATGGTTTGTGTTGGTGTGTCCCCCTAAAGCCTCATGCGGTCATGGGGCAGGCTTTTAGAGTTTGATTGATTATGGGTGTGAGAGCTCCACCCACCCTGGGGTGGATAGTTTGCATATGTA